TTAATCCATAGAGATAGAGTTGACACTACAACGAGGGATGTTTTAATTCATTCACTGGGGCACTATATCTGACAGAGTTCAGAAATTGACCGAACATTCATCACAATCTGGGATTTTACGATCATTAGAATTGAATCTCCCTATCGTGAAAGGTGGTCGTTGTGGTTGGCAACACGTTGCTGATTCGTTCTTCAACATCAAAACAACCGAAGACATGGTTGGCCTATCATATGCATCTTCTTGAACACATAGCAGTCCAATATGCATGTATCTCAAAAACTCATCTCCGGGGCATGAATCGCATAACAACGGATCAATTAATTCCAACCCCTTTCCCTCATTCCATAGATGCCATGCCTACAGAGTGCAAAGTCATTTATCAATTATCATGTTAAATAATGTTACGATCCCTCCTTAATTGGAGAGGTTCTAGAAAATTCTAGAACTTTTTAGAGAAGTATAAAATTTTCTAGAATATTTTAGAGAATCCTAGAGAATTGTAGAATTCTCTAGAAGCTTGTGGAATAGTGTGGAACTCTCTGGAACATTCTAGAGATGTGTGGAGCCTTCCGGAACCTTATGGAAGAGTATAGAAGAATATAGAAGGGAGTAGAGATTTCTGGAATGTGTGGAGCATTCTAGAGAACCAATCTCAACCCTTGATCCCCACCATTCATTTTGAAGGTGGAGTAGTATAAATAGGGGTAGGAGGCTTCATTCCTATTAATCCAAGCCAAGAGTGAATTCACTTCTTAGAGTGAGAAAGTGAGAAAGCTTCTTTGTGAGAGAAGAGAGATAGTCTCAAGTTTGAGTGTGCCACCATAGAGTGAGTCAATTTTGTAATTACATTCTTGTAATCCTACTATTCTTTTGCATAGTGGAAGAATCTCCATATTGAAGAATTTAACTCCCATTACTACATTTAATTTCCCAACAAATAATCACACATTTAGGAAGTTTGGAGGCGCACACATACATATGAAAACAGAAGGCCAGAAGTGTTTTCAGGATTATAGAAACCCGCGTTACGTTTCCCTGTAATGATCTCAAGCAATAGTAATCCAAACCCAAAAACATCAGATTTTATGGAATATAACCCCTCCATTGCATACTCTGGAGCCATATACCCACTGCAAATTGGAAAGAAAAAAAAGAGTTAAACAAGTAAATATATGCAAAGGGGAAACGTTCATGCGAGGAATAATAAAGTGCTTCTTACTATGTGCCAACTATTGTAGCAGTGTTAGCTTCACCTTCACTTCCTGCAAATATCCTTGCCATTCCAAAGTCTGAGATCTTTGGATTCATGTCATAGTCCAACAAAACATTACTTGCTTTTAAGTCTCTGAATTATTTTTAGTCGAGAATTTTCATGAAGATAAAGTATCCCACTTGCTATTCCATAAATGATATCTAGGCGTGTGGTCCAATCAAGTCGTGCAGGTTGCGTTGTGTCTATCCATATTCCATATCAATAAAAATGTAAGTATGTTGTATTAGTACCCCACAAATTGTAAAATGAATGCTATAATCAACCTATTTTCTCACAGTTGAATTTTATTATAATGTAATTGGTTGCTTCATCCTTAAAAGGAGTGAAAGAATATACGTACCAAAGAGTACAATATCAAGACTACCATTGGGTAAAAATTCGTATACAAGAAGCCTTTCTTCTCCATCTACACAAAATCCAAGAAGCTTTACAAGATTTTTGTGTTGAAGTTTCATTATCAGAAGAACCTCGTTTATGAATTCCTCTGAGCCTTGTTCAGAGTGAGTTGAGAGCCTCTTGATGGCCACTTCTTGGCCATCACCAAGTGTCCCCTAACAAAAAAAAAAAAAAACCTGTCTGAACTTTCCTATGATAAATATTCAAGCAAGAAGGGATGAACCTAGTATAAACTTGAATTCTGTTTACCTTGTAAACAGGGCCAAAGCCACCTTGTCCAAGCTTATTCAAATCAGAAAAATTATCGGTAGCCACTCGAAGAGATCTAAGACTAATTTGATGATTAACTATTGCATTTTTACCTAGAGACAAGAACCAAATGAGTTAGGAGAAGAAAATAATTTAAAAACCTGAACATACCTTCGTATAACAACTTACTTTGCTGATTTTTCCTGACCAAGTGTTGTCCGAAAGTAAAAAATATTATCACCAAGCCTACCACAACTACAATGCCTACTCCAACTACAATACCTGTAATCCACCATATTTTGCACAAATGATCTGCATAAAGAATGAATCCAATGCAGCTTTGAATAGTTGCGGTTTACAATATGTGTTAGATCATTTGTTAAAACATGAGAGTGACTTGAATTGCTTACTTTTGTCTTCTTTTTTTCCATTTGAAGAATCCTGGGGTCCTAATGCCCCATTATTCGCACCATGATAAAAGGGATAAAATTCATACCTCAAATAACAACTAAGGCTCAGAACTCTTGCCCCAATGGAGGCATAGCAGCAACCTGCTATATCTCTCATGGCACTTTGCAGGCACATACTGCAATCATTGGCAGATAAATCTCTGGTGCACTGCACTAAGGCAAATATTGTTTGGTCTTCAAAGGGGACTTCTCCAGTAGCATACATGCTTGCAGAAACATCAAAAGATGCTACCTTGGTTAGATTACTCAGTGTGTCATCCACAACAGACACAAATTTCTCAGGCTCTGAAATATTCTGTCGATTATCTAAGGCAATGTTCCCCGAGACATTCAACCTACCCATGAAATTGTTGTTGGAATAACGTAATTGACATAACTCCTCCCATACAACTGCTTCTTTGGCTTGAGGACAGAGTGTGACAATGTCTTCTGTTGCCGTGGTGATGCATTCCTGACACGATCCGCTTGTGATATAGCCGAGGCACATGTAGAGGCCATAAACTCTATTTGGGGCAATCCCATGAGAAGTAGTATAGAATTTGGAGATTGAAGCATTGGAGGATAAAGAGGAAAGGAGGGTGATTAGATTTTTCTGAAAGGAACTTTGGTTTGCATAACTGTTGGTTCTGGAACAATGTTCAAATGGAGGATCGGCAATTGCAACGTCTGAAAAAAAAGCTAGAGTACAAAGAAGGAAGAATTGAATGGATTTTGAAATTGAAACCATTAGAGAATGAATCAATGTTTTTTCCCCTTTTGATTTTGAAAGATCATTCAGAAGTTCACTCCTATTTCAATATTTCTCATTCCCTGCCTAGAAAAGATGCTACAAATAACAAGAAGATGCTAGGCTGATGATTAATTCAAAATTCCGAAGTGATCAATGATTAATTAAAAATTTCCAAGCAAAGAAATCAAGGTACTGAGCTTGAAATGTTAAGTCAACAGTGTGCAAATTTTAGAGTTGACAAAATGAAAAGTCAGGAATATCAAACATTTAAGATTTAACCAATGTGTCAGATATACCAAATAAGCCAATAATAGATAGTAAGAGATGTGACTGACAATGAGAGGAGGAAATTATCAGAATTGAGAAGATAGTTCATTACATCAGAATAGACTGGGATTGGCATAGGCACTTGCCTAAACAGAACCGCCTGCTATTATCTTCTTTTTTATTTATTTTCTTTCCATCCATGCTAGTATAAAAAAAATCACAAAAACTACGAAGCTTCCTTATGTAGTTTTGTGTTATAGTTTATTAGGGTGTTTGACAGTTTGACCAGTTTTTCTTAACTTACTTTCTTTTTAAAAAAATAAACTGAGTGACACACTTCTCATTAAAAAAATATTCAGTTTTAAAAATATTTACTACTCCGTACTGGTAAATAACAGTCTTTTTTACTTATCCTTTTTATTCAATTTGTCGGTTGCATTGTTATATATATATATTTTATAAAATACTTTTATTTAATTAACAATTTTTTAGAAAATAATAATAAATGTTTGAAATTAATTGAATAAAAACTTACTCTCTTAATAAGATCAAAGAAGATAAATACACTAAATATCTCTCTTCCAAATATTAATAAAAAAATAATTTTGATCAAATTTTCTTTTTTGAAACCCCTTTAATTAAGTTATTAAAAGGAGTTTTTTCACCCATCCGGCTCTTATAATCCCAACTCATTTTAATATACAAAGTGTATGTTTCTCAACATTTTTTTTAAATTTATTTTTAAATAAAATAAATCATTTTCTAATCAACTTCTATAATTAAATACGAATTATTATATTACACAAAAGTATTTTTATGAAACTTTTTTTAGACAATAAAGTTTATAAGAAATATTTTAATTTCTTATCTAATTCATTTTTTATTTATTATAATTATTTATGCTGATGCCACGCGGTGCGCGTCCGAGTTCGGCTTGCGTTGTGGTGCCGAGCTCGGAGCTCGGCTACGCAGTGCGGATAGTACACTAGCCCCCCGAGCTCCGAAGACTGTAGGTTGAGGAGTTAAGACCGAGCTTGCTGGGGGGAGGTGACCTTTCGCGTACGCTTGCTCGTTGTGGTGCCATGTGTCGCGACTGTTCATTTCCCGGAAACGTGCAAGTGGCGCGTTATGGGATAAGATTATTGAGGTTCGTATTCGATTGTCTAAATTATATATATATATACTAATTTTTTAAGAAATAATTATTTTAGATTTTATTAAATAATTTTTGGATTATTTATTGAATATATTTTTTGATGCTATTGTATTCTGTTTAAGTAAATTATTTTTTATAGTCTAAAAATTTTATTGAACAATAATATAGAAGATTTAAAAATATCTTTCGTAATTAATACTTAATTTTTTAATTAATATTATATTTAATAAAGTATTGTAAAATACCTTTAATTTTTTTTGACATTCTAAATTTTAAATGTAAATATTTTAATACTTTGATATGTTTTTTTCTGTGATTAAAATATATTTATGATGATTGAAATAATTTTTTATAATGAAAAGAAAACCAAAGCCCTATGGGCCCAAAAAAAAAAAAAAAAAGAGCCTATGGCAGTGGCCGCTGAATCGAAAATTGGATGATTCGTATATATAGAGGCAAGTTAGTCGGAGCCCCGTAACGAATCCTCGTCCTTGTTGTCTTCTGCCAAGTGATTCATTTGCGATGACTATGTCTATGGCCGGAAGAAGGGTACTTGCCTTTGCTAGTTCCACTTCAACCCCTTTTCTCAGTCTCTATCAAAATGCAAACTTGCTCGCTTCTCCACGTCTTTTCTCCACACTTTCTGCCCCTTCTTCAGGTGAATGATCACTCCGTACATTTCTTAATATTGTTTCATCTTTTAACTTAATTCATTCCATTTTGCGGTTGTCCTTTGTTTCAAGATTAGAGGATGGTTCCTTTGGTCATAAATTTCACAAGTGGCATAACGGAGGTGGCACTTTCCACGAGTCAGCTTGCATTGACTCCTCAGCACTTGTGGAGGTTGGCGCTGTAGTTCATTCAGAATCTGTTGTTGGTCCAAATGTTCGTATAAGTTCTGGAACTATTGTTGGGCCTTCTGTTACAATTGCACATTCCACAAAGATAGGGTACACTTTCCTTTTTCTCAGTAACTAAGCTATGCAACTTTATCCCATCAATATCATTGCTTGAAATAAAGGGTCATTTTGGTTTTAAACTCTTAGCTTTGTTGCTCCTCTTTACCATTGATTTGTAATAGTCTTGGATGCTTTTTTTTAGCTATTACTTGATAGGTTTGCACTCTACACCGAAAGCATATGTTAATGTTGTTACTTGTTATAGAAGGTAGAAGTTGACTGAAAAATACCAATATGCTGCTGCTGTAGGCATGAGGTATAAAGTATAAACTACTTTTATTATTTTGAAACTTGCAACATGGTGGTTTGGAATTAATAGGTGTAGGTTTATATTTATAAGTTATAACTCAAATTGGAAGGATGTTATGTGTCTTTGCAGAGGTTCACATGCATGCTTTTGGCTAAACGCTCATATTTAGGAAATTCAAATTAAACTCATGTGGGTTATGTCTGATGCAAAGTAATTTATATTTGTATAGATGTGGTTTTGATACTACACTTTTCCAGGTATAACGTTGCACTAAGTAATTGCTGTATAGGTGATTCATGTGTAATCCATAATGGAGTCTGCATTGGTCAGGATGGTAAGGCTGGATTTCTACGCTTGCTTGTTTTATGTAGTCAAGTACACTTTTAATAAAGAAGTAGAGTCCTAGTAAGGACCTTACTATATTTCCTGAAACAATTGTAATATCTGTGGTTCAGAAATGTTTAACCTTTTTCCTCAGATGATGCTTAGTATTGAATAGCTGTTGCATGCATATTTGAATAAACTAATTTAACATTGGACATGTCTTTTGTAAGTACAGTTTTTGTCTGATAATATTTATGTATTTGACCTATAGGATTTGGATTTTATGTGGATGGTGACGGTAATATGATAAAGAAACCTCAGGTTGGTTGTATGTCTTATTGTATCTGAATTTAAACTTTGTTTGTTGACAGGTGCTTTTTGTTAAACTATATTATTCATATTTATCATTAACCTTACATAATAATTAATATATATTTTTTGCTTAAATCTGTCAGATATTGAATGTAATAATAGGGAACAAGGTGGAAATTGGTGCAAATACATGTATTGACCGAGGCAGGTTAGTGGTTTAATGGTTTTATCATTTTATTTTTTCTTAATCATGTGGTAAAATGTGTTTTAATTTGATTTTCACTTGCTTTATTTCTAATTTTACTCACTCTTTGTTTATGCAGTTGGCGAGATACCGTAATTGGGGACAATTCAAAGATAGATAATTTAGTTCAGGTTGACTTTTAGCTTTTTTCATAATTATTAATTAAAAGAAAGAAATTTGTTCGTTTTGTTCTGATTGGTTCTTCAGATTGGTCATAATGTAGTAATTGGGAAGAATTGTTTGCTTTGTGGACAAGTTGGGATTGCAGGTTCAGCAACGTATGTTATCTTCATTAATTTTTCTTTTGCATTGTGAATTTTGGTTTTGAGTTATCTGCTTAAATTCATTCATCTTAGAACTAAATTTCTAGATGAGGCTTTTGAATTTCTTCCGACTTACAACTTTGTCTGGTACTCTGGTGTGTTCAGCATAGGAGATTATGTGACTATGGGAGGAAGGGTAGCAGTGCGAGATCATGTATCCATCACATCAAAGGTGTGTATTTGTTTCCTGATCTTACAAGGTTAACCTCTCATAGCCTTGGTGCATTGAGGATGGCTAGTGAATATTGATTAGTGAATGAATAAGTGGACTTTGAGTGCATATCTGAGACCAACACTAATCTCAACTAGATAGGCGTTGGAACTTGGAAACTAGTACAGGGTATCTGAGACCAACATACAAGTTGGTTAATCTGAAGTTTTCATATATGCATGTTCTCTCATCTGAGTAGTGTACGAGATGCATAATTTGCAACTTCATGGTGTCAGTACAACCTGAAATTCTTTGCTTTCTAGAGTAAATATTGATCAATCAATACTAGTATAATTTGGTTGCTGTTGTACTGTTTTTTTCTTTTGGGAAATTGGGAGCTTGAGGTTTAGGAGAAAATATCTGATTACACAGTATTTGCAGGTTCGGCTTGCTGCAGTCAGTTGTGTAACCAAGGACATCAAAGAGCCAGGGGACTATGGTGGCTTTCCAGCTGTAATGATTTAACACACTTTAAAGTTAACAATATGACATGCGTATTTCATTTTCGGTGTATTTACAAAATATCTCCTTTACTGCTTTGCAGGTTTCAATTCACCAATGGCGGAGGCAAGTTGCCAGTAGATATCAGACTCCGGTGAGAAGGAATCCTTAAAGTCAGCAAAATATATTTTTATATATAGTTAGTGGAGTCTGAATACTTGCTTCACTAAGAACCTTTGATGCGGTAATTTCTGGTAGATTGTCTGTTAGTGGAGAACTATGCAAGGGATTAATTAACACCAAATACTAAAATCAATATGTAGTGTGCACAGTTTCCAGAGCTAAATTTTAGTTTCATTAAAACACACATTACATGAATACTTGTTACAAGAGATTTACAAATGTATAAGTTCTGAATTCTCTATCCAGTATACACATACTACGTTCTAGAGAAAATCTTATACTAGATGGAAGAAATTTTCTTAAACCACGTCAATCTCAAACCAAGTGATCTCCACGTATTTTAGTTCCACATTAACAGGACCCATCAGATGCTAAGCTTGTTCTTGTTTCTGCTTATACTGGGGGTTGAAGCAAGGATATCTCCCATGCAAGGTGGAAACATGAATCTTTCTACGTGTTGTAGGGAAAGTAAAGGAAGAGTAGAAGCAAATGTAGAAAGGTTAGATCAGTGCCGTATTTTGGACTTTCCTAGTTTCTTGGAATAATGGGTAAGTGGGTACTTTTTCTTCTTGCGTGAGAGCTTCCCATCAGAATCAATTGGTAAAATGCCTCTGAGATGTAACCCATGAAACTTGCTCTTAATTCCCCATGTCTTGTATCGATATCGTGTGATCAAATCAACTTTTAACTCTGCGGTTGCATTTGAGATTGCATTTAAGAGAGGTTTGATTTGTCGAGGTCTGGCATTAGCAGTACTAGATTGTTCCCGAGTGTTGCTAGTTCCTTGATGGAATGAGCCTATAGTTGTCTCCCCCACCTCCTTCTCATCCTGCCCATATAAGAAGCTTAATATGGTGTCGTCATAGTAAATGCTCGAGTCCTTGTTTTGGTTTTTGATTTCAAGGCTGTAAAGGATGCTGCCGTTTTGATTCGAGTTTGATGGCTGTTCAATGGAGATGGACAGAATGGAGTATGAGGGGCTCTTGGGTCGTAAGGAAAGCCATATAAACAGAATGGTAAGGCCTAAGATGCCTATAGTTTGCGTCAGACATAAACCCTTGCTTTCAACCATCCTTTACAAAAATCTCTGATACTCGAGAGTGCGCATTAATTTCATCACAAAGTGTAGAATGGAGCAGCAATTGCATATAAAATTATTGCATCTAAAATGATGATAAAGTAGGCGTGTGTTGTTGAAGTATGAATGAGGGAAGAATATATGCATTTCTTGAGCATTACCTATAAAGAACCAATATTTCAATTTGATTCACGTATTCGCACCGATAGCTTTGATACTTTACTATATCTATCAGTGAAGTTTTTAAGTCTAACAAAATTATGAAAATCTTAAATGATTGATACTTTTTTGATATTTTGCTGAAACACTTTCTCTAATACGTATCAGTTAAATATTCAAATCTTAAAAATAATTACGAAATATATACATGTATAATATAAAAGGAGATAGAATAGATGACATTAATCTAAATAATGTAGCTGATAGCTTAGTACGATGTGACATATAAACACAAGGCAATTAATATCATCACCTAAGGACATGGTAATCTTTTTTTTTATTAAATTGTCGATAAAAAGAGTAAAACGGCGATGATTATAAGCATGGTGCAATTATGTCATTCTTAATTGAATCGCAGCAAAAACAAATGTTGCAACTTAAGCCTTTTTATGCAATGCAGATTACGTGAAGCAATCTAGTGCTTTCTTGTTATTCCTGTTTAGAATCATATAGTTCTAACATTAAAACAATCCAATTGTGGTAGGGTATATTCAATATTTTCACCAAGTTATCTCAACATATTTGTCCGGAAGACGACATTTCTGATTTAAGCCTTACCAACAATTATCTCAATGGGCATGGCCATGAAATTCCTACTGTAAGAACTGTGATGATAAAGGTCGCTCAATTCAAAATTTAGTATCAAACAGTATGCTAATGGAGAAAGCACCACCACATGTGATAAACATACAATTGGTGTAGATTTAATGTATATTTTTTATTTAAATTTAGAATTTTAACTTATAACATATTTTGGCGCATTATTACATACTCTCAAATTAGTTTTTTAGTAGCAAAAACCTATTTGTAGTATTTCTCATCATAATTTTTCAAAAATTTAGAAATTTTTGTAGCTAAGACCAGGTATTAGAGTACTGATAGGAGCACTAATTAGTAATTACTAGATGAGGAACATTGAATAGACAATTACTTACAGAGTGTTTGAGCTAGAAACTATTTGAAGGCAATAAGACAGAAAATCAAAACTTTTAGTTTTAGAATGTGTTTGGAAGGGGGATTTTATTAGAGTAATTTAATTTTTTTTATAAATTTTAAATACTTTGAGGTAAAATATTTTGTTTGTGTGAAGAATTTGAAATTTAAGTATGATGATAAGTTAAATCGACTTAATCAACTCTATCCGAGCTAAACATATCGGAACAAATTGAATTGTCAGGTGGTATGGAAAAATATTACTTCACCTAATCTAACTCAATCATACTAATTAATATATATATATATATATATATATATATATTACTTTTGAATTACTATTATAGATTAACGAAGATGTCGTACACTAAAATAAAATAAAATAAAGATATCCATTTTTTTTTACAAACATAAAGATATCCATTGTGATTTGTAATCGCAAAGTATCTATTAAATTTAATGGATCTACTGTCACGTTAACATGAATTAAAATATATTTACTATTCAGTTATTCTAAACATCGAAATATACTGTCACATTAACAACTTCATGTTAAAGCGACATTTTCACAATATTAATACATAAACATTTCCGTCTAATATTGAATGCTAAGTTAATGGACTAAAATTATATAACTAAAATAGTCCAAATCAAATTCACGAAAAAAAATGTAGGGAATTTATAAAATCGAGAAAGTCACGAGAGAAAAAAAAAACAAATAGGTATTAAATGAATAGTGGCCGGAAGTAAAACTTCAATTCTAGTATAAAAAAAAGGCTTTAATTTGAATGTTGGGGCTAATTAATTTAAGCATCAAATATTATTCTTATTTAGTTAGATATTTAGAGAGGAAATAAGATTTCTTGCTTATGTATTTAGGAGGGGAAGTTTTCATTCCGATGAATAAAGGTGTGTTTTTATAAAATTAAATTATAAGTTAATTAAAAATTTATAAATTAATTATAAATTTATAAGTTATAAGTTAGGAATTGAAAATTTAAAAATTTAAAAATTAATTGATTGAATTGAAAGTATGTGATAAAATTAAATATTTAATATAAAATGACACATATATTTATTTAATAAAAAGATGAGAGATTAATATGTAGATAAAATAGTTTCTAAATTAAAAAGAGAAAAAAAATAGAAGAAAATTAATAATGATAAAAAATGAAAGAATAAAAAAAATCATAAATTATAAACTACATCAATTAACTTATAAAATAAACTTGTGTATTAAATAAATTTATTTTAATGAAATAAAAAAGATTATAACTTCCTCAATATCTTGTAAAATACACTCTTAAAAGATGATTTTTTCTACATGCATGTATTGTGTACTTCTATTTCTATGTTAATTCACGCTATTTTAGAATTCTTTTTCATAAATTGTGATATTTATTGTCTCTTTTGAGTCAAATCAACTTTCTTTAAAACTTGTAGGTTAAATTACTAATTCTCTATGTAAAATATTTGTAAAATAAACTTTTTTTTAATAAGATGGAGTAATAATTTGCCGAAGTTTCATTGAATCATTAAATGCAAATAAAGCATCCTAAGAGGATGTTATGGCTGATGCATTCAAACCATATCAATAGTCTTATAAGGATGTATTGATTTAGGATTTCATAAGATTTTAAAAGACTTTTTTTTGAGTAAAAGAGTCTATTGGTATTCAATCAGGATTTTATGTCACTTAAAAATAATCCAGTGGTATTCAATCTAGATTTTCAAGATTTTTTAAAGAGTCCATTAAAATTCATTGGTATTCATTTGAGATTTTTTACAACTTAAAAGCAATCTATTAGTATTCAAAACTATAAGGATTTTAAAAGATTGTTGTGTGAGAGGGATTTTGAAAGACTTTCTAGTGTTATCTATAAATACCAAATTCATAAAACAATCTCATCCAAACCCATCGGATTTTGAAGGATTGTTTGAAGTGACTTTTCAAGAATTTTCAAGTGAGTTTTTCATCTTTTTTTTTTTTGCTCCTGTCTTCTCCATTTTTTCTCTACTAATAATACTACACTATTGTTCATTGCTCATATATAATACTATTCTCATACCATTCTCCTATTTTGTGAAACTCTAATATGTAAATGATAGTGTCATTGACTTGTTTTATTTTTCTGTTCGTTCTCTTTAATTGACTTACTTTATTTTATTCTATGTAGTTGAATTTGTTCCTTTATATAACACAAAAAAATACTTGAAATTTTAACTTTTAAGTGGTAATTTTTTTTATGACACACGTTAAGAAAAGAAAAAGGTGAAAGATGAAATTGATATCATAATCTCTACACAATATATATATATATATAAGATGAATTTGTTAGGATTTCTGTGAGTAGAATGAGATGAAAATGAATCTTAGTTAGGGGAAGAACCCTCTCAGGCTCAGCATAAAAACTGCAATCTCTCTCCTTCTCTTAAGTTTGTTACTATTATCTCTCCTCCTTTTATAACTCAACAATTATTTTATTTTTTTTACTATGAATTTTTCTTTTTATTTTTATATTGTGAAATTATGACTTTTTTATATTTTGAAAAAAAAAATTAACATAAGACATTCCAGTATCTAATTTTTTAGGGTTTAGGATTTATGCCTTTATTAGCCTATTTTTAAAAAAAGGAAATATTGTTAAAAATATTTGTTAGAATAATTTACATTTATAAATATTGTTAAAAATATATAACTAAAATAATATATATATATATATATATATATATATATTCTCTATATCTAAATTCTTATTCTTTAAATAATAATGGATAATGACCCTGAAAATGAGAAAGAATTGTTCAATCTTCGTCATGCGTCTTTAAGGAATATGATCGAGAGAATATTTGGTATTTTTAAATCAAGGTTCACAATTTTTAAGTCAGCGCCTCCATTTTTATTTAAGACACAAGTAGAATTTGTGTTAGTATGTGCAGCACTACATAACTTTCTACGTAAATAATGTTGTTCCGATGAATTTTCAATTGAAGCGGTGGATGAACTTTCATCTTCAATGTTACCAGTTAATGAAGATCATATTTTTGAGCCTATTATTCAAATCCAGGAGCAATAACAAAAAGACGCTAATGCTTGAAGGACTAGTATAACTATGGATATGTGGGTGAATGTTATTTAAGAGGATAGAATATTATGGAGAATTATTGTTATTATTATTTATTTAGACATTATTGTTTTTTTATTATTTTTATCTTTGACTCTTTTTAAATTTGAATGTATGAAATTTTTTATGAAATCTTATCAAATGTAAAAAATCCACGAAAATTCTACAAAATCCCACAGAATCCATTAAAATCCTGATTTAAAAGTCTTGCAGAATCCATTAAAATCCTGATTTTAAGTCTTGTAGAATCCTGCAAAATCTTAAAAGTCATGAAAATCCTGCAAAGTCTTTTAAAATTCGTAGGATTTTTTTTAACTAAAAAAGTCTTTTAAAATCTTAATCCAATACATCCCCTTAGTTTTCATACACTTAATTAACTTTTAATATGCAATTTTTTTAAAAATTTTCTCAGAATCTTAAATAAAAATCTTAATTTTTGTGTGTTTAATAGCAGTTAAAAATAAAGAATTCTCATAAAAAATATATATATATATTTTAAATTATTCTCACTTTTCTAAAAAAAAATTCTATGATAGAGGGTACGAATACAACTTTTTTGAGTTT